ACACACACACACACACACACACACACACACACACACACACACATATGAATTTGAATACAATCCACTCACAAAGGACTACAACATACATTTGTAGTGTGAAGGTGGTTCAATTCCAAAATATCATTTAAATGCAAAATAGCTCTTGAGAACTATCAAAATAGCATTTTTTTTCTCTTGCCAAATTCTCAATAACTAATTTATAACAGTTAAAAATAGTTATAAATCCACTTTTTTTCTTGTTTTGATTTTGTTCATCATCAACTTACGACATGCAAACATCAACATATATTAAAGAAGAGTCATTACGCACTGCAACCCTATGTGCAGCCTAAACAGTGAGTGACTTGACAAAAAATCAGTGACACGATTGAGCTGCGTGTTAACACTGTGGTTAGATGAAAGGTCAGTTCTCTGTGATATATTTTGTATTTTTCCAGTCTTTTCTGACTAGATTGTGTCATTCCAACCAATGCAAACCTTGATATTTATATTACCAAAATAGAAATTAATTTCAAAGTTTAATTCCTTTGTTTATATCTCTATATTTATTCTTGACTTTCACAGTCAACTATCAGCTTACATCCTTTTCTGAGAAAACTCTAATATCAGCACTGATTTGCAATCCTGTTACTGTACATATAAAACAAACATTTCAAACATGTTAAAAATATATATAAGATATTATATAAAGATAAACAACATTTCTGTGTAGTCCTGAGTATTTATTTGTCAGATGTATGACATAATCTACAAATAAAAGTAATACATCCGTTCAACCCCGTTATCTTGTGCAGACCTGTTACTCTCATTTAACCCTGTTACCATACAATTTTTTTTAATAAAGTAGTCACAAATGTTTTTCTTAGCTCATAAGGGTTTAATCGTTTGCCTTTCTTTGCTTGAATTATCATATGAGTTGTGTATTTGTAACTCTTGAAAAGCTGGGCAAGGTAAACTTTCTCCATCCATAGATCCATCCATCCATCCATCCATCCATCCATCCATCCATCCATCCATTCGTTTTCTTATGTGTATCTGGCACCAGGTTGTGGGGGCAACAGCCTAAGTAAAACTCCCTTTCCCTAGTTACCTTTTCCACCTTTTCCGGGGGAACACCAAGGCCTTGGTGTTCTTTGCAGAATTGTTTTAATTCAGCGACGTTGGAGGGTTTCAGAGCATTAATGGCATGTTTAAGGTCATCACAAAGCATCTCAATCGGCTTTAAGCCCGGACTTTGACTAGGTCACTCCAAAAACGTTTTTGGATGTTGTCTTTTTTGTTTGTTTGGGGGGTGGATCGTTGTCCTGATGCATAAACCAATCCTCTGATATCATTTTTTTTTTTTTTGAAATCCTGTATTAGTTTTATGTCAGATGTAATGGGACTCAAACATTCCAATAAGTGGAACTTTTGTCTTGTCAGTCCACAGAATATTTTCCAAAAAGTCTTAGGGATCATCAAGATGGGGTTTTTTTTGGCAAATGTGAGACTAGCCTTTGTGATCTTTTAGGTCAGCAGTTTTTTTCTCCTTGGAATTTTTCTGAATTAACTTTAGTAATTAGTTCTTCTTGAGGCTTCATTCCTACAAGACTGTGTGTTTTTCCTTCCCACTCTCACCAAGCACTTGCTCAAAGTGTGCACTTGCTTTGATTTTTGAGGTTTCTCTTTATTATTGTAGGGTCTTTACAATGTAAAGCACCTTGAGGTGATTGATGTTGAATGTTGAAGTTATGCAAATCTTACTGTTGAATCATAAACCTTAACTGAGACAAGTGAGGCCAGCAGTTCTTTAGAGGTTGTCCTGGGTTATTTTGTAACCTCCTAGATGAGTCGTTAATGCAGTCTTGGAGTAAATTTGGTAGGCCGGCTACTTCTGGGAAGGCTTGCCACTGTTCCAGGTTTTCTTCTTTTATGCATAATGGCTTTCACCATGGTTCATTGGAGTCCTAAAGCTCTAGAAATTACCTTGTAACCCCTTCCAGACTGATGGATGTCACTGAATTTGTTTCTTATCTGTTCTGGAGTTTCTTTAAATGGTTGCATGATGTTTTGATGTTTGAGGTCTTTTACCCTACTTTACTTTGTCACACAGGTTTTATTTACGTGATTTCTTGATTCAATAGGTCTGGGATGCGACTTGTATTAAAAATATTTAAACTTTACTATTCCAAAGCTAGTTATCTTATTCAGTAAACACTGTAAGCATAACCTAATACATTTCCAAAGCACTACAAACAATACTTTAGATTTTTTTCTTGCTAATATAGCCATATTCATTAATGGTTGCTATCAAAATAGGTCTTTTTCACAATAACCACTTTGACATCTCATACCACAATAAGCATGTAAGTGTTAAACTCAATTATAACCCTGTTATATTCAGTCTATCAGTCGTTCTAGTGAGCTGGCAAGCACAATAAACCCTGACCCTTCTAAATGGAGCAGTGCCATGATGAATGTTATTACACCTGTGCTTACTCTGCAATGGCATTTCAGAAAGGCTGCTCTGACTTTTTTTTTTTTTTTTGAGGCTTTGGGTCACCTAACAATCTTGGATGTCTACAACAGTCGTTGTTTTAATGCCGTTTAAATAAATTTCGTCGGTCAGCTGTTCATATGTCTGCCACTAACAGAGCAAGGCAGGTGTGATGTGCCGTGAAGGAGGATTACTGATGCTGTGTTTTACAGTGTGTATTGTGTTGCGGATGGTGTGTGAGGATGTTGGCAGTCAACAAGTGTGTGTCTGTGTGTGTAGCGGGTGAAGGGTGGGGTTGAGTTTTATTTTTAACAGTGCTGAATGCAGTTTTGAGGGAGTTTTCCTGTTTGTGTATTACACTTGGTATAACATCGTATTTGAAAGTGTCGTTTTAACTCTCTTTGCGCGACAAATACTTGCACAAGCCCATATTTTCTAATCAAATAAGCGCAAATAATGCAAATATCAAACGGAGCCTTTACCGCAGACCTCATCTTTTTTATGCAATCCGGCGACTTCCGCGCATGCGTATAATGAACGACAGTCGGACTACCAAACTGGTCAAACAGCGGGTGTAAAAATGGTAGGTAACCAAAATAAACACAAACCCAGGCATTGGATTTAATGCCAGTAAGGTTTGCTTACAAGACTATTGTCGTGGTATTAAAGTACATGATGTGTCGCGTTTTGGCAAGCGTACAGTGGCCATTTACTCGTGTTCGTTGCTATTACAGGGAAGGTCAGTTGGATATTTTAAGAGCAGCTAGCATTAGCTACACGTCCCTTTTTGTCAGTCTGGTAACTTCGGCTGTGAGCAGGTCAGCCGCTGGACCTCAAAGACACACACACACAGGGCCGTTTGAGTTAAGTCCCGGCTAACGCGTAACCACAATGACAGTCTGTTCCCGTGATATTAACCCCATCGTTAATGTCAGAGAGAGAGGCTAACTCAGCTAACGTTAGCCAGTGCAAGTTACTAGCTGGTGTTTGTGAAGACAATGCTAACCCAACGTTACCCTCCTGTAACAGAACAATAATCCGTGCTGCCAGAGCAGCAAACCGGGACAGACACATGACTTCATACATCGTTATTGACTACATCAGTAATGGAGTTATTAGCAGCTCGGTGAACTCAGGTTGAGGACATGCTGATCTTCAGTGAGGTGTTCAGACGCTGCAGCTAGTTGGAGGACATGGCATAGCATGGTGATTTTTTATTTATTTATTTTTTGCAAAAATAGACAGAACTGTTTAAAAGCTTTTCTAACCTTTTGGATCAGAATACAGCATCACAAATATTAGGTAGACTTGTCCTCAAACGGTCCACAATCCCAAACTTATTCGTTTTATTTTCATAGTAGAAATTTGACTTTGGAGCTGCTAAAATAACTTTTGGCAATTTTTTCTTTTAGATTTATGGCTTTAATGATTGATTGCTGGTTAATTTCTGCTGGAGAGGAGATGGTAGTTGCACACTAGCACAAGTATCTCTGGAAAGGTTTGGTCTAGGATATGATAAAAACTTGTTATATGGCTGTCTATAATTCAGTGGTGGATTATTCTAAATGAACATTACTGATTTTAGCCAAGAGAAGTGCACACTGAGTAATTTCTTTTGTTCCTCTGTCCATAATGAATTAAAATCACCTTATAAGTATTTATGTAACGAAAGTGCACTCTATATTTTTATGTAAGGGGTATTTGTTGAGTATTTCTGGTGGGGGGCGGCTTGTGTTTCACTCCAGACTTGTTGCACCTCTGGGTCCTTGTGATGGCATCCTATGTCCCTACTCATGTTACAAGTATGACTGTAGTTATCTGAGGGGCCCTCCAAGGTACAGCATGTGCTTTGAGAATCCATAACAACCCCTTTCAGAAAAACCCACCTTGTTTTTGGAAAGGACGTCATTACTACCAGCGCGTCTTGGCTCAAAATTTGTAGCGCGTTTGTCGGCGTGACTGACTAACCTTTTGAAATATGTGCCGGAGTATTCCTGAGCGTGTCCCAGTCTTTCTTCCTGTTGCCTGAATGCCTGTGGAGTTTTATGTTTCGCTGTGTGTTTTTGTCTGTGTGTCGCTCTGCATTTGTGTGGTTCTGTCTGTACTGACTGGTTTGATTGCACCGGTGCCTGACAGCCCCTGTCCTGTACTTGTACAGCATAAGCTGAAGTCTTCGCAGAGGGACAAGGTACGGCAGTTCATGTCCTTCACACAGGCTGGGGAGAAAACGGCCGTGTACTGTCTCACACAGAATGACTGGAAACTAGAAGTTGCTACAGACAACTATTTTCAGAATCCAGAGCTTTACTGTAAGGAATCCATGAAAACCTCAGTAGACCGTAAGAAGCTGGAACAGCTCTACAATCGCTACAAAGGCAAGTAGGATCTTAAAATGCAGTGTTTAAGGCTGTAATTTTGTTTACAAGAACAGTGTAAAGATCCTTATTCCAGAAGAGTTACAGACACTGCTTGCTTGAGTATTTCGAGTGAAACTGTGTTTTTGTCTTGATAGATCCCCAGGATGAGAATAAGATTGGTATTGATGGGATCCAGCAGTTTTGTGACGACCTCTCACTGGATCCAGCCAGCATCTCTGTGCTGGTTATTGCGTGGAAGTTTCGTGCCGCCACTCAGTGTGAGTTCACCAAGAAGGAGTTTATGGATGGAATGACCGAGCTGGGGTGAGTGTTGACATGAACGGCACGTGACACGCTCTAAAGTGGGACAAAAACACTCTTACTGAAGTATCTACGCATGGCGGTTTTCTTAGTGTTGCTCCAGGGAGGGAAGGCTGTCTATTTATACATCCGCCCACAGCCTGGGTATACTGTGTCTTCGTGGAACGACTCAATGAAACAGTTGCAGTGTTTTGACTTTTGAGGCTCAGGTGTCCGAGTATTTTGAAATAGGCTTTCAGGGCACTGAATGTTAGAACAGTTTTGTTTGTCCATGTGTTGTGATTTGTGTATGTGCTGCTTATATTTTCTTTTCTTTTCTTTTTTTCTAGGTGTGACAGTCCAGAAAAACTGAAGGCACTTTTGCCAAGATTAGAACAAGAGCTAAAAGATAGTGGAAAGTTCAAGGACTTCTATCAATTCACCTTTAACTTTGCCAAAAATCCTGGCCAGAAGGGTCTCGGTAAGTTCACGGATTGTGACCTAACAATAGATTTTTGACTAATATTATAGATTCACAAACATCTGAACAAAGTTGTCTCATTTGTGTAGATTTGGAGATGGCCGTAGCCTACTGGAACCTGGTCCTTTCGGGACGATTTAAATTCCTCGATCTTTGGAATAGATTCCTTTTGGTGAGTCAAAGGAGTAAAACTGGGCACGATGGACCCTGAATTTTTGCTTATTAAGAAATCCGTAATGTTGATTTTTATTGGCAGGCGCAGTGTTTGGATATTTGGGGCATTATTTAAAAAAAAAAAAGTGCAAATTATTTTTTATTTTTGTTTGTTTTTACACTGATGTATGTATACAGATTTTAAATGTGAGGAAGGAGCTGTGTTCTAAGAGCTGAGATACTACTACTGGTATTTTTAAGAGAAAAAGGTCAGGTGATGTCCTCATTACACCTAAAAAGGTGTTCACTTTTCCCCAAAAAGTCACCAAGATTGTAATTCTTTTTAAACCTTTTAAAGTGGCATTTTATTTGTTCCAGAATAAAATGTGTATGTGGTTTGTTTTTGTTTTTTTAATCAGTTAGCCAAACTTTAAGCCATTTTAATCCTCTAATTAAGGAGGAACCCATTCTAGAGGCCTGGGCCATTATTCCGTTAGATACCTACGTGATCACAAAAACTAGTGAGCAAAACCAGATTGTTTCCACCATGATGTTTCCACCAACCCTGCACTTTTCAAGAATCTTAGTCCGAAGCAGGTGTAAAAGTCCAAATTCAGACCATTTCTGCCGACAGCTTAGTCAACACAGCACATTACATTAAAGTACCAGTGGCGTAATGTTTGAGGCAAACAGACATTTAGATGTCAGAGTTATTCAGATAACATAAGCAGGCTGCTGCCAGGGGGGTGATTGAGTGGTTTCAACTTGTAGGAGTTATCTTTTTGAACATACTGAAGAGCTGTACCATGACTTGCAGTTTTTTGTTTGGTTTTTTGGACCACAAGCCTGCAGCTGTCCGACAAAACTACACCCACTCTGGCAACTTAAACAGTTATATACTGCTAATAAAAATCTGCCTAGCTGTGCTGGTTTGAAGGGATTTCTTTTCAAAGAAACATCTTTGTTTGGTTTTTCCACTTTTCTTTGCATCGTTTGATTAACAGAGGCTGTCTGAGTTAGTGTATGATTTATTGTGCTCGTTATTTCTTTCCTAGCTCTCTTATTGCTTGTTATAAAGTTGGACTTGGCCGTCTGTGTGTTCTTGCGCTGCCTGCACAGCTCTTAATTTTCTTATTTCTGTGTCAGTAATGGCAATTTTGTTTACTTTGATCCTCCAAATCTACTCCAAAGCAGAACTGACAAATTAGGCGGACATGAGGAGAATGTTACAGATTTTTTTTCTTTTATTGAGCGTAAAGTCCAGTCTCAAGACTGCTTTTCAGAAATACTGACTTAGGTGTTTGGACAAGGCTGAGCAAAGTACAACCTGTCCCTGGTGTTTTGGTTGAAACAGAACTCTAGAATTCAGTCCATCAGTTATTTACAGTGACAAAAAAATCTATTATTAAAGATGGAAGGAAATGAAAACATGTGAAGCTGTTTCTGTACCTGTGACTTTACCAGGACTCGTTCGTTTCAGGAACACCATAAACGATCTATCCCAAAGGACACATGGAACTTGTTGTTGGACTTTGGCAACATGATAGCAGACGACATGTCAAACTATGATGAGGAAGGTGAGCCGGCACAATCGATAATACATGCTTCATATTTAGCTCTCGTCCATCACTGTGACACTAACGATATTTCGGTGTTTCTCACCCAGGAGCTTGGCCAGTCCTTATAGATGATTTTGTGGAATTCGCTCGACCAATTGTAACAGGATCAAAACGCAAAACTCTCTAAATCTAATCCCGACTCTGGAAAACCAGAACATTGTTTCTTTTACAGTGACTTGATAGTTTTTTTTTAAGACTTGTACAAAAGAGAAAAAAAAAAGAAAATTGTAGACTTCAGAGTGAAAACCGAAGCACTTGAAACTGTCAGGAAACCACCTTTCAGGGAGCTGAGTATAAACTACGAGAACAACTGGCCACGTTTTCTGCCCTCTTGAGTCTGAGGCGTCATATGGACATTGCCAGATTCTCAGTATCCTGGATGCCCCTGTGCTCTGCTCCAGGAGGAGCACTACAGCCCCCATAGGTGGGCATAGACACAGCACTGAGAGGAGGTTCACTGGCTGCGTGTACTCTGAATGGACTGGAGAAGCTGTGTGTTTTAAGATTCTTCCTAGTCAACCGTGTCTCAAAGCTCTGAGTGACTGTGCAAAGTTCCCATGTCTTATTGTCTTATTCTAACCTTGGGACAGAGTGCTCACTACACCAGCACCAACAGAACTGTTGCAGTTTTTACTGTACATACTGTATCTATTGGGACAGTTTACAAAGAGAGCTATATGAAGAATAATATAAATATGTTCAATTTATAAATACAAAAGATGATTGTTTTATGTACAGTAAATGCTAAGTTCTCTAACGGGATGCCTCAATATTGTGGATGATATGCTGTTGGTTAAATTGTTAGGTGGCTCTGTTAAGTCATGGAATTGTGAGCTTCTCATCAAAAGCATGTTGAAACACATTTTACGTCACCCCTGGCTGGTTACACCAATACATTTTCACTAAAGTAAAGGCAGTACTTTAATTTAGATCATGGATATTGGGTTGTGTTGTCTGAATAATCTCAGTGGGGAGTGGGTCTTGAATCCTAAATGTCACATAGTCGACTTTCTGTCAGAAGCAATTTTGTTTTTTATCAATTCATCACTTTGATGCGTTTTTTATGCTTAAACAACTGTTTAGCAGCACTTGAGAGAAATTCTGAAATTAGGAAACGACTGACCTTTAGGATTGCATGGCACATATCTGTGTGTTTAGGCAGTGCAAAGCCCTTAATACAGAAATCAGGACACTAAAGAGGGCGACAACAGGACGACAAAGTAAGCCTTAAGATTAAAAATCTGTCTGTTTGATATTTGTATTTCTGTTTAACCCCATCTGTTCAGTGTTCCTGAAGGTAGTGAAAAATAGAAAATATTGTTGATACATCGTGTAAGTAGCCTAATATTGTTCATTTACGAAAGATGAATAAAGCATGAGTTTTTCCATAATGATGTGTGTATTTAGCTCTTTTGCTGCTGATGAGAAATATGACGCTTAATATCACAGATACAAAAAACAACTGCTAAAGAGTACAAAAAAGCACAGTTACAGCGAAGGCAAGTCGACACTGAGGGGGGGAAATGTTTGGAAATACCAGAAAACTGCTTCTCATTTAATATTTTCTGTTTTTCTAGTAATTCTCTATAAACGCAAGACACGGTTGTGTAGGTCAGCAGTTTTTCAGACTAGCCTGTCTGCCACATTCAAAGTCACTTAAATCACCGTTCATCCCCATTCTGATGCTTTGATTAAGCTTCATCAGGTCACCTTGACCTTATCTACATAACTAAATGCACGGAGTTCCTGCCACGTGACTGGCTGATTAGATATTTCTGTTAACAAGCAGTTAAAGTGGCGTTCTCTTGTGTGGCATCATCTGCTTTGGGATCATATGCAACTCATGCACAACGCTGACTTCTAGAGGCAAGTCACATTTATGTTTGTAGGTTGAATTATTTAAGCTACCCTCATAGGTCAATCAAATGTATTCAAGTATCATTAAAATACTCTTTCACCAGAAGTAATTCAACTCCAGCAAAGTTTCTTTTAGGGCTAATATGGCTTAAGGGTTCATCTATTTATTTCCAGGGATCATCTTTGTAAATAATTAGAAAGTAAAAGCTCTGTTAATAACTGCAGTACTCCTATAAGTTTCTGACTAAAAATAAGTGAAATAGGAAGGTACAACAATGTTGTTACAGAGGAGATAAATCCAGATTACTTTCATAATATGATTCCACAAAACAGGACACATGACTGTTATTTTTTTTTTAATCTGTTTGCAGACGCATATATTGTTAAGAGTACTCCGTGTGGAGTGCCACTATAGCTCAACTGGTTGCGCTGAGGGCTAGTGACCTGGGTTTGAGTCCACTTTGAGCCTTTCTCCGTCACTCTATGCACTGTACTACCCACCAAAGGGTGAGACAATTAAGCTAAAAACAGAGTGTGGAGTGTAGACCAAAACCTGTGTATAAAAGATGGCTGTAACCCCCCATAAAATCACCCACTGGTTTATAAAGTCCTGTTTTGGGGCCTTGAGGATGAGCATTCTTGGTGTTTTAAAAATCACAGGCGGTGAGTGACACTGCACGCTCATACTGTAGTAACTAATGCAGCCACGCCCTAAAGTGTTCACTGTTTTATTCACCAGTTTTGAGTCTATTTGGGACTAGAGTGTACAAACGAGTCAGTTTGTGTTAAAACTGAGACTTAAAAGTGTCATATGAGAACATGAACCTACCAGTGGGCTTACTGAGGTCAAGAATGCAGGTTTAAGGCACTTCAGCATTTCAGGTAATTTTTCAGACCTGGAGGCTACATCCATCCCCATCTTTTTTAGTCTTTTGTTTAAACTTTATTAAACTTTATAACACAGGACATGGCCATACAACACGAAAAATATGCCAAGTTAAAATTAACAGAATGGAAAGGCATGTGTCCATCTTATATATACAGTCTTTTATATCAGGCTTTTTAGATGCCAGCTGTCTGTGTGTTTGTCAAAAATAATGTTGAAGTAAGGTGAGACTGATCCACAGTAATGCTGTCTAATAATTCATTACTTCGGGCTACACGTTTCAGAACACGATGTATTCCAAATATAAAATATTGGCTAAGTCCACCTATCATCTCTGTGTTAATAATATGTCTGCCAAACAGATCGGCTTTGAAACACTGGAAATTTGGGTCTGGCTCCAAATCACTTTAAAGAAATAACAAATTTACCTGCTGCAGGAAATTAATAAAATGTTGGAATTACAGCCAGCAGAGGACATAAGAGCAAACACCACAGTGTCTCTTCCTCCAACTGTTTTGTGTGCGAACAGAAGTACACGCCTGTGGCTGTTACCTGTGGGTTTCTTCATACTAGCTCCTCCTCTCAGCAGTGGCTGCTGTAAGGTGAGCCATAGGAAACTCAGACCGCTTTGTTATTTACCTTGACAACAGCTGGTTCTTTTCCAGGGAATAAAAATGGAATAAGCTTCCTGCTCCCAGTTGTTTTTTTCTTTTTCTTTTCTTTTTTTCTGCTTTCTTGGACTACTTTACCTTTAGCACATGAGACACAATGGATGGGGAAATGAAAGGAAATGCTATGCAGGCTCTGGCCGATTATGATGACAGTGACAGGTAAGCTTTGTTTGTTTCATTGCGTTTTAAAAAGTACATTTTCTCGGTTCTTGCTTCTTCTTTTTTAATCTGTTTTGTTGTCGGCCTGTGTTATTTAGTCAGCATATCTGCCTGCAGCTTCCTCACTGGCAACCTTTTCTTGTTTTTACAACATCTTTCTTCCTCTTCAGCTTTTTGTATTTCCACTTCACATTTCATCTTATAACGTGTAAATCTACCATTAAAGTTTGTCACCTGTTGGCTTTTTTTAAGGGACAGGAGCTTGTCAGAGTTTTTACATTTTTCTCCTTGCTCCCCTAAGAAGTAATTTAACACTTAACTATTCATCCAGCTGGAGCATTTGATCACTCAGCTACAGAAACCCTACCCAGTGGAGGCAGTTTTAGAGTCTGCCATCACTGAATAGGAGAATGAAAGAAGGGAGGGGAGCAAGCAGGTCCACCGGCAATCCTGATTTCACAGCGTCTATGAGTGTTATGTGTAGACCTTCACTGGTGGAGAACTGTGTGAATTTGTCCCAGCAGGATTGACGCCTACGGTTTTGAGAGACGTGGCGATTTCGACTCCTACAAGGAGATGATGAATCAGTATGTAGATGTCCTCAACAGGAGGTCCATGAGATGGTCAAAGCTCCTTCAGGAGAAGCCTCATGTGGAGAAGAACTTCACAGGTACAAAAACAAAAGACACCTCCATGGGTTTTGTTTGCTTGTTCGTTCCAGCTCTCTGGTCGTGTGATGGGTAATAATAAAACATGTTTTGGCAGTGAAGAGGTTTGTTCGTAAAGGTGTGCCTAATGAGCACCGTGCCAGGATCTGGATGGCGGCTAGTGGTGCCCAGGAACAGCTGGAGAGTAAGCCGGGTTATTACCAGTCTCTGCTGGACATGGAGCATGACACCAAGCTGAAAGAAACCATTCACACAGGTGCACCAAAACTGTCGCAGCATACAGCATGCTCTTTCAATGCTTAAATTATGTCTCAATAATTCACTCACTCTCTCTGCTTTTTAAAAGATATGCACAGGACCTTTCCTGACAACATCCTGTTCAAGAGCAAAGCAGAGCCAGGCATGCAGAAGGCTCTGTTCAATGTGCTGCTGGCCTACGGACACCATAATCCTACAGTGGGCTACTGTCAGGTGAAGAAAATGCAGTCAGCGACAAGCTCTGACTCTCTCTCTATCTAAGATCATGTCTGTTTACCTAAAGATCAGGGCTGGCTACTTCCTTATTTAACCAATACATGTGTAGGATTTTCGTCTTAACCTTCATCTGTTAGCTCTTATATCGGTCAGTGCACTTATTCAATGTAAAACCTGGCATACTGTATGCACACACAGCAGGAGTTCTTATTCTAAGCGATCCACAGCATGCTCTTTCGTTTTTAGGGCATGAACTTCATTGCAGGCTACCTCATGATCATCACGAAAGACGAAGAGAAATCCTTCTGGCTTATGGATGCACTGGTGGGCAGGATACTCCCAGGTAAGGTGACAGTTAACGTCGGCTTCCTTTCAGAGCTCTTTTTTTTGTTTTTGTTTACCCCACAGCAAACATCCCCTACCCTGCACTGTTGCTCCATAGGTTAAACCAGTTCCACTTTAGAGATGCAGGGTTTTCAGTGTTCGTGTCGAGGGCCAGCGGCAGCCTCCGCTAACATTTTGCAACCACAACAAAGGAAACGTACAGCAAGATGTCAAGGCGGCAGAGAACGAGACCAAAGATGCGCTTCTCTTCCGTTTTACTTCTTTTTCTTTTTTTTTAAGTTCTCATAGCGCCTTCCTAAACTGACACTCGGTCTATAAAAATTTGAGATCTTTTATAAAACAATGCTCCAGACCATCATTATTTATTTTTGTTCAGTTTATTAAGCAGCAAATTAACTGTGAGCATGTGAGTCTGTTTTTCTGAGGTACTGGGGATAAAATAATAATCAGTTAGCCTGATCTTTTCCTTAAGGAGGGCTGTTAAATAAATAAATGTAATTCAAAGTTTACATAATAATAAATATTATCTATAATAAATAAATGCCCTACAATGGCTTTCAATTGTGCAAAAGAAAAGGAGGAATTCATCTGAATGTGTTGCAGACTACTACACCCCGGCCATGTTGGGTCTGAAGACTGACCAGGAGGTCCTTGGTGAGCTGGTTAAGGTCAAAGCTCCTGCAGTAGGACAGCTCATGGCCCAGTACCCTGGCATATGGACGCTGGTGGTGTCTCGCTGGTTTATCTGCCTCTACATCGATGTACTCCCTATCGAGGTGAGGCAAAAGCTGCGCTTTAGTGGAGGGGTCAAACTAGAAGCATGTGGCGATCATTTAACTGACATCCACCTTCTGTCTTATTCTTGCAGACTGTTCTGCGGGTCTGGGATTGTCTTTTCTACGAGGGATCCAAAGTACTTTTCCGCGTGGCTCTTACTCTCATACTTCACCACCAGGCAGAGATCCTGAGAGCGCGCTCTTTGCCTGACGTGTGCGAATGCTTCAAACAGATCACTTCTGGGGCTTTCACTCTAGACTGCCACACCTTTATGCAGGTGAGATTGCCAAATACAATGACGGTTAGGAAGGGGCCAGAGAAAAATGACACTACTTATGGTCATAAAACATCTTTTTTTAAAGAATACTTCCCGAAAAAGAAAAACAATTCATGGGGAAGTGCTACATTTCAGCTATTCTAACTTCACCAGTCCATGAGACTGTGCAGAAGATAATCTGTTAAAAGTATTTACACAGTTTTAATTGTAGTTTTTATTTTTATTTTGAGTAGAAAAAAGCCTAAGCACTCCTTAAATGTTCCTTTGCAGAAGATCTTTACGGAACCTAAGAGTCTGTCGATGTCGACTGTTGATAAACTGAGAGAGAAATGCAGACAACAAATTCTCAAGGAGGAATCAGGACAGCCATGAGGTTCAGGACACTTTCCCCTTATACTGGATTTAATAAAATAAAGGCTCAGGCAGCGTATGTAACACTGTACAGTCAGGAACGTATGAAACATGACTACAGGAACTGTATGAAACATACATGTTGGTGACTCTTCTGGTTACTTCTGTGATTTATACTTTGTTACACTCTAATCTGGCAGACTGGGTGTCTAAATATGAAGGCTTATGCTTCTGAGGCTTTTCTTTTGATTTTGACTCCAATCTTTCACCTACTATATTTGCTGCTATATATATACAGAAGTACATTAAGATCATAACACTGCACCAAACAGCATTTAAATGTGTATTTTCTAAAAACACTTTTGCTTTGGTGATTATGGACGGATCACTTATTTTTACTGTGAATACTTTGTTCTGTCTCTTGCCTTTAGGACTGTTTACAAGAGAACGTAAAGCTGAAGGGTCACGCTTTTAATGTGGTGGTTTCTGTTTAAATTTATGGAGCTCAGTCTCATTTTTCACTTTTTGTTGTAAAATAAAACCCATTAACTTACCCCATCTGCTTCCTGACTTTGCTGAATGCTTCTGCTAAATGGTAGCATCAGTATTATTTGTGTGTGTCAGTCATGAATTCAGGCATAGTCTACAAAGCTATTAAAGTTATATGCTCACCAGCCACTTTAGTAAGTACGCGTTGCAATGCGTGGGATTTCATGGTACAGATTCATAAAAGTCATGGAAAGATTTTGGTCCATATTGAATGATAGCACAAAACAGTTGCTGCAGATTTTTCAGCAGCGACTGTCGGATTTGTGAATCTCGTGTTCCACCACAGCCATTGAACCACTGAGAGAAGTAAGGATGGATAAATGTTTTCTTGTTGTTTAGTGTGACCTCTGATCCTACCATCTGAATGTCACAGCAGAAACAGGAAACATTTTTCCAGTCTTCTAATGTTCAGCTCCAGTGACCACATGTCATTATAACCTGTTGCCTTTTTTTTAGCTGGCAGGAGTGGCACTTGGTGTGATCTTGGTGCGTGTTAAGGGATACTTCTCTTCTGTTATTTGCATTACTGCTGCCTTCCTGCCAGCTTGAAGCAGCCTGGGCATTCTACCAAGGCACTATAACACATTCAGAGTTGTTCTTATCACCGTCCTTCCCCATTCTGATGCTCAGTTTGAACTTTGGCAGGTCATCTCGACCATGTCTGCATGCCTGAATGACAGTTGCTGCCACACAATTCGCTGATTAGATATTTCCATTAACGAGCAGTTGAATGAGTTTATCTAATTAAGTGGTCAGTGAGTGCAAGTCTACAAATGCTGTGTTGGACAAATTACCTCAGTGATACAGATAATGTTGTTCATTTTAGCTCACAGTGCTTTGTTTCTGTTATAAATAGATAATCAGTTACTATAACTGGAAACTGTGATCTGCAATCTTTTACTAAATACGATAGAAGATCTGAAATCTGCAGAGGCATACACTGACCCTTTTTCTAGGCCATAATTAGGGCTGTGCGATATGACCAAAATCTCATATCCCGATATAAGAATTCTATCATCACTAACGATATAAATCACAGAAATGTAACATAATTCTGTGAATCTCGGACAGCTCATCTTTCGGGAAGTGTTTCCAGCTGCGCGTCATGTAGCTGGAGTCGAGTGTTTTAACCGATGCATGAAACTATACATTTTTAGACATAAGTTGTAAAGGCCGCTGTTTTCTTTGTGAGTATTTATTGCACGGTGTGCTGCGGGGAAAAGCCTGTTCTAACGTTTGAGTCTAAGGTTTATTTTTTTAGCACCTGGTGGCTCTTTTTTAATTCTCATCCGTAAATAATCTGCTCTTTCACGTGATTCAGTTTATTTTGAAAGATCTCAACAGGATCTTGAGCTTTATTGTGAAAGGTTTATGTGGAACATAAACAAGCGGACACGCGATGGTGTTACCGTCGTTGTTGCTAACCACAATGCAAAAAAAACAGGCGCTTGTCCATCTGTAGTGTGGTTATATTAAATATAAGAGAAAGAGAGAACTTTAAGAAATTAATATAAACACTACAGTGACCATCAAAACAATGAAAAAATATTGCCGTAAACAGTTTATTTTGCGACACCACGAAACAAACGATGGCGTAAAATCGTCATACGATATATATCGTTATATGAACAGCCCTAGCCATAATAGTCTGTATACTATCATAAAGTACAGTAAGTAAATATTCAAATGCAAAATGAATGTAGATAATACAGATAAACAACTTTTGAAATTAAAATGCAAACTATAGAATAGCTGATGTTAGTAAACCCAAATCCCCAACAGCTATGGATAAGACTGTGAGAAGGTGGCTCTGCTATTAAAAAAAAACAGTTTCCAAACAAGTTGGGGCGCTATGTAAATAAAAACCAAACGCAAATGATGTGCAAATGATCTGAACACCATAATTTATCAAACATATTAGAAAGACATCAAACGTGACACTGGTGGATTTTACACCATTATGGCACACCCACCTTTACTGGACACAGGGTTGTAAAAGTACCTCTTTGTAACTGTTTTACATTTCCTCATGTTCCCATTGCATCACATAACCTGGTTTTGTATCCCTTTTTCAGTCATTTTGTGCCTTATAGGATGTGTTGTATCCTCCATGACCACACCCTGCAGATCCAGTCTCTGTATGGACTGATGCAAATTTGCTGTTTCCAAGTGACATTTACATTATTTAGTCAACACGTGCGTTGTAACAGGCTCCCTGTTGCTCGGGGACTGCTTTGACAGTCAAACACCATGTTCATTTAACTTCCCTTAACCTCCCACTCTTTACTCGCAGGTATGAACTTGGCTATTTGCTTTGTTCTTTTAACTTTATTCAAATGTCAAAACTGTGGTTAAAACACAGTGAATATGTTTGTATTCTCTAAAAAAAATGATATTGGAATTTAGTCTTTGATGGTATTCAATACCTTCCTTGTCAAATAATGAACATCCGCTTCTAAGGAGCCCAAATAAATAAAAACCCAACAGGGAACAGGTTTGTCTGCTAACAAACAGCATGAAGGCAAAACAAAGAGTCAGATGGCCTCATTCATCACTTTTATTGACCTCTCCTTAAAAAAAAAAAATGTTCAGACGAATCTAATAAAACTTTATTAAATAACTACATGAGTATTAACATGAGGGAGGGAGAAAAAAACAAACACAAAAACACAAATTATCTGTGCTTTTTCCTACTACATCGAACAATGCATATTTATGGTAGTAACAGTACACGAAGGCTACGGGAGACACAAACATGTCTCAGTTATGGCAGCACAGTGTGGGTGAGTGAGCGAGTTCCTGTGTGATATTAGCATTACTTGAATCCCATCCATGTTACAGCTGGGAAGGCACTGATGAACACTGACCAGAGCACTTTGGCCTTTTTAATAATGACACGGGGCTGTTTCTCAGGACTGCAGTTAAACTGCTTTTCTTTCAGGAACCAACATCCCAAGCAAAACAAAACCATCTCTGTAGGAATTTTGTTAAGTTCCTACAGAGATGTTTAGGCTTTGGGCTTCATTTAAACCAACAATGCTGTTAGATCCTGTTTTGGTTGTGTTGTAACGACAGAATTCATAGGAGTGACTATCAGCCTTGTGGGAAATAAACTTTTTTTGTTGCTTTTGTGTCAACTGTTTCTTTATCTACACAGTAAATATACACTAGTCAGCCACAACTTTAAAACCAGATATCTAACATGGCACGTCCCCCTTGCGCCACCAAAATAGAGTCAGTGGCACTGACGCTGAGTAGGTCATCTGTTAAGCGGGAGATCGCTGATTCAATCTCTGGGCAATCCTCAGGCCAGATGCTGAACCCTGAGTTTCTCAGACTGGGAGTGTGTGTTAGGTTAGATTAAAAAGTGCTTTGTCATAGAAAAAAAAAGCACTCCTATGAATGTGTGTGAATGGCTGAATGAGGTTTGTAGTAGGAAGCACTTTGAGAGCTCAAATTCAGTAGCAAAGAACTATATAAGTATCAGATCATTTACTATTGACTGCTGGGGCACTGCCATGGTAACAGATGTGCATTTCTGGCACATCTGTTTGGGCTTTGGGGAGCTTGAGGGCCAGGTCAACACCTTTGGCACTTTGTCATGTTCCTCAAGCCATTCGTGAAATGTTTCTAGAGTGTAGTCTGGTGAATTGTTCTGCAGGGAGATGCAGATGCTATCCTGGTTTGTGCTGAATTTCCAGTAAGGTTTATGCTGCAGATTAAAGTAACATCGACACAAATTGTCTTGACTTCAGTTGAAGGCAGCTGGATTTTCTTTTTTAGCTCTAAGGGTTCCTTTTTTAGATCTTTTTTAGTACTTGATCAGAAGTCAACTATGACTCTCCACCAGCTTTTAGAAATGAAGAAGCTTCAAAGTCACTGCAAAAGAAATCCAGTTGCCTTTAACTCAAGCTACAGAGACTTCCACGTGACTTGTAGTGCCCAACCCTTCCCAGCAGAATACTGCACTGAAATTAAATAAACATCACGGTTCACTTCAGCTGCCAGTGGTTTTGATGCTGTGGCTGGTCAGTGCAAAGCTATAGCCAAAGACTGCATGTTGATTAAGAACGGAAGCAAGAGGAGAAGGTACTGAAGGTAACAAAGGTCAGTGTTTTAATGCTCCCCCTTTTGAACAGCGGTGCGTGCCGGAAACGATATCACAACCATTGGCCCCTGCCGCCATTTTGTTGTCGTTGCACATTGCGACGAGATTTAAAAGTGGTGACCTCGTGTGAAAAACTTTCAGGAAAATCCTTGCTTTCGGTTTTGACGTTTTCTCTTTCAATATCAGCGCTTATGTCGCGGTATTGTGAGTGGTGACAGTTGCCATTCAGGAAAATACTGCAAAGGCTACCTGTGCCTTAACGGCCGCAACACATGAAGTGACCAACTCATCCAATGTAAAAATAATACACAGGTATTTTACAGTGGGAGTACGAGTCTGGCCAGTCTGTCCATTTCCACAAGCTGAATGAAACTAAAATTGACTCACAACAGAAAATATGCTGTGTGTCCGAAAGAGGGAGTGAAAAGCTTTGAAACGCTAACCCTGCTTAAAAAAGAAAGTTAATTCTAAAATGCATCTTAGAGCTACACGAGGACTCCTCACACATCCTTTTTAGGATTAGGTTATTGTGTTTCTAAATATGTTCTTTCAAACGTGCATACAGCTTGCAGGTAAATAATCAGTTCAGTTCTCAACTGTCGGACGTAGTTTAAGTATAACTGGCAGAAATATTCCCTTTGTAACAGCAAACCTCATTTTATGCTGGACCAATAAAAATGGTCATTCCATAACAGACAAACCCCAGTTTCTAAATCCCCAAATCCCTCAAAATTCCTTTCATAGAAATCATAAATAGCAACTCGAGGACTATAATTGATCCTCTGCAAACATGCATCCCCTCCTTTACATAGTACCAGTGAGAAGTTGGCCTCATTTCATTACAATCTTCTAAATAATTCCCTTTTTTAAGAAAGAGC